CTCTCTCTCTCTCTCTCTCTCTCTCTCTCTCTCTCTCTGTGCAAATAATCCTCAGCCTGGCCAAAGGGAAGTGCTTACCGAATGCAAATCAAATCACATCTCATCTTTAAGTTTTAGCCCACTACTGATCATCTAGTTTTGAGCACCAACAACAAATCCATTACTAGTTGAACTTTTGTTAACTTTAAAGTGATTTTACTAAAGCTCAAAAGTTACTTCTTCTTGACTTTAAAAAAAAAAACTAAAGTTGGTTAGGTCTTGGATTCGATCTCCTCCAAAATGCGCAAATACTCACAAAAAAAAATGTTACTACGTTAACCTTTATTTGTTAACTTATAAGCGATTTTATTTTAATCACAATATAACATGTTTATTTTTTTGGGTGGATAATACAATGTAACATGCTTGAACTTTCAAATAATAATAAAATTGACAATATTCCCTTGGTCCCCCTCCAAACCCTTCCCCTTCTTTCACTCTTTTTGCCCTTTCTCCAAGTTTCTAGTCCTGCCTCGATTCACGTTTTCCATATTCTTTCTTTAATTTCCTTTTATTTTTCTAAATAATCTATATTCATGTTCGCTTGTTTAAATTTTAATATTTATTTATTATCTCATCAACCCATCAGCGGTAAATAATTTAAAAAGTAAAAACCAAGTCAAATAACTCACTGTTTTTCTTGTTCACTTCACTTCCAACTCCTGCTTGCTTCCTCTCACTTCCTCTTCTTCTTCAAACCCCTCTCTCTCTCTCTCTCTCTCTCTCTCTCTCTCTCTAAGTACACCCCAGTTCCCTATAACTACACCTACCCAACAAAACCCAACTCATCTTATTCTCAAACACTTGATTTTCATTACGAGAAAAAAAAAATGCTTCCTTTCCTGAGCTGGTCTGATCAAAATCACTACGCACACGACCCGTCGTTGGTCAACCTGATGGACGGCGCAGATTCCATCCTGAGCCCAGCAGCCTCCATGACCGAGACCTCCAGGTCAGCAGAAGCATCCAAGAGCCACAAGGAAGCCGAGAGGAGACGCAGGCAGCGTATCAACACCCACCTCTCCACCCTGCGAACTCTCCTCCCCAACACCACCCGGGTTAAAAACCAAAACCATAGTCCCTTTCTCGTTATTTCGATTTAAATATAGGGGCATTATGGTAATTGTACTCGGGCGTGATTTTAATTTTATGTGCAGACGGACAAGGCGTCGTTGCTAGCGGAGGTGGTGCAGCACGTGCGGGAGCTGAGGAGGCAGGCTGCTGACCTTGCGCGACAGGACGGGGGCTCGTGCTGCGGCGGCACCACCGGATCGGAGCCCCGGCCGTTTCCGGGCGGGGGGGGCGCGGGCACGGGGGGCGAGTGGGCCGGCGG